GCCACAATACTTCAGACAGTTTCTAATTGATGCGTCTAATTAGCAACAGGACTACAACCAACTCAGTTTATATAAGCTAAACAGCCATAGATAATGGGCTAAACTGAAAACTGGGACTATCGATTAATCACAGTTAAGTTACCACAGATGTTGCCAGACCAGAGCGGTTAACAGTACCAAAGTGAGATTTCTAAAGGTAACTATCGCACTTGACCCAAGGTTCAAGAAACTGGAGTATGTTCCAAAATCTGAGAGACAAGTTGTAAAACATGCTTTTAGAAGTCTTAAAAGAACAATACTCTAATGAGAGAACTACAGAATCCAAACCATCACAAAAGAAAATCAGTCTCATGTTGGTGACATCTGACTCAGATGCGCTATTTTGGATAGTTATCGAGCAGAACGCATCATCAGCATGGATTCATGTCCTCTGGAATGAAGGTCAATGCATGAATGAACATATGAATCTTTAATACATCTGGCATGTAAACAGCCTGCAACACCAGAAATATTTAAATAAACGGTATATTATTGTTTAATGGCATGATTAGTTTTTTTAAAATCACTTGAGAGCCCTACTGAAAACCAATTACCTCAAAGTGAAAGACTCAGTGTCCCCATTATTAAATACCTGTACTATTCTAATATGCTTATAAGTCCAACGAACTAGTATTTTGCTGCACATGTAGCGCATTTTCCCAGGTCATAATCCACAAAAGCATAATTGGATAAAAACTTTTACCCAAGGTATATATTAGGGCTACGTCTACACTGGCAGCTTCTTGAGCAAGAACAGCTGTTCTTGTGCAAAAACTTGCCGGCTGTCTACACTGCACGTGAATTCTTGCACAAGTAAATTTACAGTGTAGCATCAGAAAACAGGGCTTCTTCCGGAAGAGTTATTCCTCTCCCCACGAGGAATAAGCCCTCTTGCGCAAGAGGGCAGTGTAGAAAGGCAACATGAATTTCTTGCGCAAGAAACCCCTATGGCTAAAATGCCCATCTGAGCTTTCTTGCACAAGAGAGTGTCCACACTGCCATAGATGCTCTTGCGCAAAAGCACATGCCACTGTAGACACGCTCTTGTGGAAGACTTTTTGCACAAGAACTCTTCCGCAAAACAGTTCTTGTGCATGAAGCTGCCAGTGTAGACATAGCCAAAGATTATAGGACTATTACTGCAATTTGATGTAGGTCAGCAATCACAGATCAAACCATGTGAGATATTGTTACCAAACAAGGCAATCTGTGGCAGTCAGAAAGTGTTTCAAGCAGATCTGCTATGAGATAAGGAGAACATTAACAGGAAATAATTTTCTAGTATCAACTCTACAGACATTAGGTCATTTTCATAGCTGATCTGTCAGTGCTGGATCTCACCAAGTTTGTAAGGAATTCATTCACATTTTCCCCAAAACAGACATAATACAGATTTGGCAAGAATCAGTCTCTAGGGACACTGCACACAAGTCCTATACAATAGGTCAATGTCCTGTGTTGACTAGGTCTTAACTGATCAGATGAACAGGGAGCTACCACAGGACACAAACTGCAAAACAAGCTGAAACCAACTGGCTTTACAGCCTCAGCCAAGGCTAATTACAAAAAGATGTCTGTTAGTAAACTGAAAATTCACTGCTCTCATGACAACAGAAGATGGCAGCAGATAGCTGCAAAGTGATAAATAGTAGCAAGCCAAAATAATGCCACCTGGATGTTAAAGGTGGAGAAGACCTGCTACACCACTTGTCTCCAACCTTTTTAACCACAAGATCACTTTTTCAATTTAAGTGCAATGTAAGTGCAATACCTTTGGGCCCCACTTCCTTCTCACCCTTCTTTGGAGGCCCTGCTCGTGCGCCACCCTTTCTCCAAGGCCTCACCCTGCTCACACCATCACCCTTCCTCCCCCATCCTCACTCACTTTCAACAGGCTGGGGTAGGGAGTTGAGGTGCAAGCTCTGGTCTTGGGCCAAGAGATTTCGAGTGTGAGAGGGGCTCTGGGCTTAGCCCAGGGTGGGAGATTGGTGTCCAGGAGGGGTGTCAGGGTGCAAGCTCTGGGAAGGAGTTTGGTCACAAGGGGTCTCACATCTGGGGCAGGAGGTTGGGTGCAGGAGGGGATTCAGGATTGGGACAAGGGTTCAGGAAGCAGGCTCTGGCTGGGCATTGTTTAACAGAAGCAGCTTCCGGGTGGTGCAGTGGAGTTAAGGCAAGCTTACTCCTGCCCAGGTCCTGCACCACTCCTCAAAGCAGCAATGGCTCCATGTGCTGCCCCTCATCTACAGGCACTGAGCCCACAGCTTCTACTGGCCACGGTTCCCCAATACTGAACAATGGGAGCTGTAAGAGCAGTGCCTGCACACAAGGACACCATGTGAAGACCTCCTGCTCTTCCTTCCTTGGGGGCTACAGGGAAATGCCAGACACTTCCAGGAACAGCAATTACTATAGCAAATACTCCAGCCAGGACAGATTAGGCATTTGAGAACTCACTACTCAAAGAATTAAATTTAAGCGTAAGAGGGAAATGAAAATTACGAAATGCACAGACCAGTCAAAAACCAAAACTAACCCACTTTACAAGCAGTAAAAGAAGTAACAACCACCTCCCACGTATGTGTTGGGTTGGAAGATGAGAGTGAAGGAAGGTGTGTGCGCTTGTGAGAATGACAGACACACAATTTGTGAAAGTGACAGACTTGCATTGCCAAGCTCCCTCCATCCCCTTCTCTCTGTGTGGAGATCAGAAACAGAAGTGTTTGTGGGGGAGAGGGGGAAAGCTTGACATCAGCATCCCCCTCTTCTCCCTCCCACACTCTGCACAGCAAGCAGGAGCCTCCGGGAGAGGGGGGGGCAACTCCAAGGCAGAGGGCAGGAGCAGCATAACAGTGGGTGAAGGGGCAAGTGAAGTGGCAGTGCTTGATAGCTTCCTGGTCAAACCAGTCTGGATCACCTGTCAGAGGCTCCAAGATCTCCCAGTAGATCCCTAACTACTGGTTAGTGACCATTGTGCTACACTGAGCCGTTCCTGTGCAGGACAGTCCCAGATGGAGGTTAAACCCACACAAAATACTCTAGAAGAGAGTACTAAAAGGGAGATTTCAAGAGACACTCTTAGGCAATGTCTCAAAGCAAAATAAATATGGAATTTTAAGGCTACAAAATCTCTAGAGAATTCCAGTTAAATCAAAACACAAGGGGAAATACTAGCAGTTTGGATATATCTCCAGAGTCCCAAGATAGGAGAACAGAGTTTGGTTTTGCTTCTTATGTACAATGTAGAATATATGCTAATAAAACATCTTGTTCTTCATTATCTACTGCACTATGCACTAAGAAGCCTGTAACATTCATTGAGACATTAACAAAAATGTCTGTGCTAGAGCACCCTTGCACCTGCCAAGGCCAGGCTAGAGTGGCCCCTCTTGGTGCAGGCAGGGTGCAGCTCTGGCCTTCAGGACACCCAGGCCTGCAGTGAACAGAAGCTGCCCCGCCAACAGGAGCTGCTCCTGCCTGCAGGTAACCCCGGGCCTGCCACATACAGAGGCTGCTCCAAACAACTGGAGCTGCTCCAGATGACGAGAGCAGCCCATCTGCAGCGGGCCTCACATGGAGCTGTAGCTACCCTCTATCATAGCAGGTAGGGAGCTGCTGCAGTCCTCACCAGTTAACCAGAACTGGTAAGCATCACCAATTAAGAGTGATGCTTACCAATTAACTTTTCACATCCCTCGTGGTGATCCTTCAGCAACTGCCCCATCGATGTTGGAGATTTCCTACTTCAGGTACAAGGGCTAATGCCCTCCTGACACCTTGCCCTCCTAACCTGCCTCCTCTCATCTGCTGTGGCTTGGAGAGGGAAAAAAAATAAATTTCTAGGTAACAAAATAATCAAAGCAAGCTCAGCCAGGCTAAATGCTCAGTCTCAAGCTGAGTGGCTGACAAGGATTGAAGACTGGTTTGACCACGCAACCTTGGTACAGGCATAAGACATGTAGGGTGCATGTGTGGGCTGAACAGATACTTCTACTGAAAAAAAATCTCTGATCAAAGGCATGTGTGCACCAGAAGAAGAGCACCCATAGGGATGCTATTCAAAGAAGAACTGAAGTACCTTGTTAGGAGGCAGCAATGAAGGAGCTATCCCTGATTCACCAATACCTGGTCCTAGATGTCCTGGGTTATGTGGAGTAGGTATGCAGGAGAAAGGGCTGAGGAGCCAAAGGCAGGCTTTAGCCAGGAGGAACTTACCTGGGCAGCTCCCGGCCAATAGGCCAGCAGGTTCCTCAGCCAGGCTTCTGACTGCCCAACGCCCATGCACACTCAGAACAACCGACTGCAGGAGCCATCTGTGCTTCTCTGAATGCTGCAAGCCCGGGAGGGGGCCGAGAGGGAAGGCTACTTTGTATGCTACCTATCCTGCAAACTGGCAACTCGACTGGCCAAAAACAGAGACTGTGCTGAGGGTGAGGGCAGCATGAGAAGCCTCTCCTTCCCTTCCCTCTTCCCCAGGGTCGCAGTGCTCACAGAAGCATATGGCCCCTGCAGCCAGCTTCTCTGAGGGTACATCTACAAAGCAGTGTTATTTTGGAATAACTTATATTAGTCTGAAATAATATAGTGCACATCTACACTACAAGCCTTTATTCCGAAATAACGTCGAGCTGGAGGACTTCTTACTCCAACTCCTATAATCCTCATTTTACGAGGATTTCAAGAGTGTTCTTCCTTCAGCTTCCTGCTACGTAGACAGTGCCAAAAGAAAAATTAAGCTATTTTAACTTAAGCTACGCAATTGACATAGCTGAAGTTGCGTAGCTTAAGTCGATTATAGCCCTACCAAGGACTCTAAGGCACCAACGCAAAAAATAATAAAAATACCAATATGCTAATGGCAGGTGAAGTAAAGAAGAACAGGAGACATAACTAATTCTGTTTCATTAACTCCAACCGAACAGATATCAATAGAGTAATATGGCACAGATTGATTCCATGCCTACCTCCTTTCCGCAGCAGATAGATGGGCACAACATAGAGCATCACGTGCTGGATGTAATAAATTTCCACTTCAAAGGGAAGCTGAGGAAAGAAGAAAAAACATTAATAAGCATTTTTCATGATTAACAAAGCAAAGTGAGCAAAGTATACTGCTAGCTATCCATACACAGCACAGGGATCACTTATCTTCTGGCTCCACCAAAATGCAGACATTTGCAAGGAAGAAGGTAAAAGCAGTTATACTAAGAGTAATACCACCACCTATCAGGTTATGTCAGGAAGAGAAGAATACCTTTTCCTAGTGAAGTCAAAAAGAAAGTTAGAAAGACTCAAAGAGAAGGAAGAATAACTCACTACAAGCGAGGACAAAGCATACACAATATACAACTAAATTGCAAATCTGTTCAAAATAAATGAAGGAAAGGCCCACTTTATAGACAACATATTTTAGTATACATAGAAAAAATAAAGCTGTATCCTCCTACTTTAATTGGTACTGAAGGCACATACCCTTGGTCACCGGCACTGGACTGATGTGAAATGGGAGACTCCGGGCGCGGAGACACTCCTGAAACCCAGTGCCATTGGTCCTCCCCAATGTGTCCCCCAACTGGGAGCTCAGTACCAAATGAGACTCCACCAGTTCCCTGAACAGCTGCGGAGCAGGCATCTGCGACCAATGTGGTTTGCTGAGACAACTGAACCCCTACAGTGGGGTCTCTACCCAGAGCCACTGAGAGAGTACCCCTGCTGACAGAAGCGACTAAGACCGATCTGGAACCTCCATCTTGTGTCTGGTGGTACTGAGGGGGAAATCTCACTCCCCTGGGGTACAGAGCCCCCAGAAGGGTTCGAGGCCGGAGGTCAAATCAAATCAGTGAGGCAGGAGAGAAACCTAGAAGGGAAAACTTTATTATGCATGCATGCAGTCTGACAGCTACTAGTGAACAATAGCAGTCAGCCCTGAGTTACAGGTTTTTGGATCCTTTATACAGAATGCTTAGACAGTTCAGTTTTTGATATGTTAAAGAAAAACAATCAACGTCTCAGCAGAAGTACTCTGAGACTTCTGTTCACACCAGGAGTGCTAGAAGTAAGTTTTACAAAACGAAGGCACATGAGAATGTGGAGTGAGTAGTCTTACAAGGCAAATTGTGACAAAGATAAGAGTATACATGATAATTTGTGACAGACTAGGAGTATCCATGAATTTGAGATAGGCATTTGTAAGGGTCTTTGATTACAGTTTAGATGATTCCACTCTGATACAGGGAGAGGGGTCTGGAAAACTTTTAACCCTTACAGCAGTTTTCTTTTAGAGAGTTTTGATTTCCTCCAGTGTCCCCCCTTAGACACAATTGGAGTTATTTGATTTTCCCCAGAGTACGCCCAAAGAATCCAGAATGGCAACTGAGGAAGGCCATTGTGAAGTCAACTCTTGCCTCCTCTCTAGAAGCACCTGTGCCAAACAGTGCCTCCCCCTTGGACTGGTGGCCCTCCATTTTCAACTCTGATGAGGATCTGAAATGCAGAGACCACAGAAGAGTAGTACCATGACATGCCAGTAGCCTCTGCACAGGTGTAAGGTCACCGGGAGGACTCTGACTTGTACAGGAACCCTCCCGGGACTGGTGCCAAAGGGAACAATCCCCATTGATTCCTCCTGGGCAGCTCTGGTCACTCTGCCTTGTACAGGAGCCCTCACTGGAGCAGTGGAGAGGTGCCAACTGGGAGAACTCTGCTGGTACAGGAGTCCTCGCCAGACTATTGCTGAGATGGTCCTGCCCATGCCCTACCCCCAGCAGGGAAAAAACACAAGTCCCTGCAGCAAACTTAACTTGTAAGAACTATCTACAAAAATCAACAGGGGAAAGCATGCTTGCCTGAAGCAAGGAACGTTGGCTCCAACAAACCATCACTGGTGGTAAGAAGGAACTGAGGGAGGGGGTAGTTGGCAGGGTGCTATATACCTAGCCATACTGGCGCCACTCTAGGGCTATGTCTACACTGTAGGTATCTGTCAGCAGAGAGTATGCTAATGAAGCGCTCATTAGCATTTGTGGTGCTGTCATTTGTATACTCTCTGCCGATGCTTTTTGCACAAAAAGCATCATTAGAGAATATGCAAATGACAGCATGACAAATGCTAAGGAGTGCTTCATTAGCATACTCTGCCAACAAAAATCTGCAATGTCGACGTAGCCTAGGTGTCTCCATGTCAAATTTTGGCATCCAGCTAGGGAAAATCTTCCCGGCAACTATGCACGCAGCATGCACATAGCTAAACTGGAATGCACATGATTCTCAAAGTAGAATCAACACATGCATGCATGTCAAAAAAAAAATTAACCAAAATTGGGGAAAAAAGAGAGTCAGAAATGGGCAACAAAAGCAATTAGGGGTATGAAACAGCTTTCGTATGAGGAGATATTAATAAAAATGAGGCTTTTCAGCTTGGAAAAGGGAAGGCCAAGGGGGGATATGACTGAGATCTATAAAATCATGACTGGTGTAGAAAAAGTAAATAGGGAAGTGCTATTTACTCCTCATAACAAAAGGAACTAGGGAATCACCAAATGAAAATAGGCATCAGGTTTAAAACAAAAGAAAGTATATCTTCACTTTGTCAGAAGAGGTTGTAAAGGGCAAGACTAACAGGATTCAGAAAAGAACTAGATCAACTCCTGAAGGATAGGTCCGAAGTCTATTTGCCAGGATGGACAGGAATGGTGTCTCTAGCCTCTGGTTTGCCAGATGCTGAGATTGAGTGACATGGGATGGATCACTTGATGATTACCTGTTCTGTTCATTCCCTCTGGGGCACTTGGCACTGGACACTGTCAGAAGACAGGACACTGGACTAAGTGGACATTTGGTCTGACATAGTTTGGCCATTCTTGTGTTCTTATAACCTGATGATAATCTAGATCCAAACACTGCTGTTGTGGGCCATCTGTATTAGTAATTCAAGTTACTGATAGAAAAGGAAAACCTTCCTTGAAGTACAGCTTGCCGTGATACGATGTTGTGCTTGTAGTCATGTCATGATGCTGAACTGGCGACAACATAAAGTCAACCAGTGCCAATGTATTAAATGGAATTATGAAGTCACTGTTGAGAAATAAGTGAAGAAAGAGGTGGACTGAGAATGAAACTGTTTAGTAGTAACTGAGACACAGGATAGGAATCTACTGGCAAAATGTTATTTGCACAACATCTTTTAAAGATAGTCCAATATAAGAATTTTGTTAAATAGGTAACATGTGGATTCTACTAGCCCTGATGCACAATGGTTGACTACATTCAGGACTTGCCAGTATCCCAAGTGCAAACTCCAAGATGTGCATCTACCTGTTGGAGAAGTGAGTTATAAACATTCCATGCAAATTTTTTTAAAACGGAATGTTCAAATATTCTGTAATAAAAATATTAAACAACAGAGCTATATTCTGTAAAGGCAGCACTGAAAGAACCTTTGGAAATTTTGTGCATCTTAACCCTTTCTTCTCTCTTGTGGGTTATTTCCTGGAAAAGACACTAGAGTCATAAGGGAGCAAATAAGAGATAAATCAAATTGAAAGGCGCTTAAAATAGCTGTTGCAAATGGAAAAGGATTTGTAGCTCTGCTACTTGGACAGCCTGATAATCAGACAGTAACAGTTTCAGATATAAATATGTAACATTTGCTCCTGCCAAAGAGCCTTCTCCATCCATTGTAGTTTCATAAGGGCTTTTGCACTAGTTGAGTCAATGTGAGGGTCAGTTACACAAACTCCACACTCAGGACACACTTGAGAACAGAGGAGAGTTGTTTTGTTGCAACAGAGTTGACAGTTTTTACCGTGTAAAACAAAACAACATTTTCATGCCATGAAAGATTGTTTGTTCTGTGGCCTGGCTAATTGTGCAAGAGCATTTCCTCATGTGGAGTACACAACACTGACTTCCTTTCTACATGGTAAAACATTTAATTGTCAAGAAACAGACCCCCCATTGTACAGTCAGGCTACAATAAAGAGAAAGAACAAAACAAATACTAGAGGACTTGTAAAGCTGTACAGAACAACTGACTCACCTCAATGCTAGGATTTAACAAGTGTTTGTTCTGAGTGCATTGCTTGCTCCTTGAAACACTTAGGCATTCGTATTTGCACCAAGAACTAAAATAGCGACACTTAGAACCTAGCACGTGAAGAGAGTCCAGAATAGGTCACCTGCCAATCCAGGATTTAAGGAATTCTGCAGGTGACCTCTATTCACAACAGATTTACTATGTCTGTAAGTCAAAGGAAATGTAGCACATTATGGTGGTGTCCAGGCCATGGTACACAAGATGCTAGGGATGTAAAAAGGTTAACCAGTAAGTATTAGCCTTACCAGCATGCTTACCCAGTAACTGGCTAACCAGAGGGATGGAGGAGTCCTCCCACACCTGCAGCAGAGGAGCTGGCTGAGCCAGAGGAGCCCCCTGCTTGTAACGGATGGACTGGCAGGACCCCAGCTCTGGGATCCCTGTCTGGAGCAACCCTCACCACAGGACCCCAGCCGCTCTGCACCAGGCCTCAGTTAACCAGTTAAACAATTAAAATTAAATTATTTAACCTTTTTTAAAATTGATATTTATATTCGTAGAACATGAACATAAAGCATCGTATGTCACTACAAGCCAAAGAGCCAAAGTCCCTAAACCCAGACTCAACAAGCTGAAAGGAGAATACCTCTAAAGATGCTAGACCCAGTGGGTTTCTCCTCAGACACACTCAACTGATGGAACCAAAGCTAGACCTCCTGGGGATGGTTTTAACTTGAAGAAGCAAAGAGCTCCCCAACAATGGGCAAAGGAGAGGCCCAGGCCACTGTCTCTGGCTACGTACTACCTCCCAGCACCTGGGAGCATCACTCTCCCTGATGACTGAGGCAGGCTGGGCCTTATGTTCAGTCAACTGTCCAAAACTCCCTTCTCCTTGCAGGTTAGCAGCATCATTCTCCCTGCCTTCCATGGGCAATATTAAGAAAGAGAAATCTTTCCCCAACAGTGAAGTCTAGTTCCTAAAGCAGCAACAAACCCAACTTCCTGGAAA